ATAATACTGATTGGATTTGACCAGGGTATTATACCAGTACAGAACTTGTGTCTATTTGAAATGCAATTGGTGAAAGTACAAACAGTACACTACAGTATTAATATTAATTGAGACTTAACATTGTAGGATCTATATTACACGATGAACAGTTCTAGGTATTTGACGGTACACTCTCAATTTGTAGAGTCTAACAGTAAACGATGCTTCAATTTCATTCAAATCGGAGGCATTCATTACGCACTCATTGTCCACCAGATGTGAACACTGTATGTGAACACTGTATGTGAACACTGTATGCCATGCATTGATGTATTGTAAACAGTATGATTACAAAACAGCCATACAGTACAGACTTAATTGTACAGTATTAATATGAATTGAATACACTATTACAAATACAATATACTGTAATGATATTGATAACAGTTTATGAATACAATTAAGCATACAGTATCATATTTTTGTTACTATTTATAATGAATCATTTACACCAATAACTGTACCATTAATACTGATCATCAATTCGATCCTATTGTTTACATTCAATGAATCCTAACAGTGATGTATATAATGGACCATGGTCATATATATGGTAGTGCATATTAATATTACAGTTAGTCATAGTAATTGTGATCGTGGTCAGTGTGGTGATTGCGGTCATGTGATTAATGGTTGGGTGTGTTGAGTGAGCAGATGGTGGTGTTGTGTGGACTCATGTCTTGGGCCGTACGCCAGGTATGGGTGCAGACAATGTATTCTGTGGTGAAAGGGTTGGTCCGACTGTTACGCAAGCGGATAGTGTTGGCCATCATCTTCAGCCTGTCGTTCACCTACTGTTTGGTGTCTCTGTTGAGCCACAAGAGCGGCACTGGGGGTGCAATGGATGGCACTGTCGAGGACTACGAGACGAATGTAGACATCGATCACTTGCAGCATATGATCAGACAATCGCAACATTTGAGCCAAACTTTCATTAAACACAACGAATCGCTTGATTTGAATGGAAATGCGGCCAAAGAGTTGAGTGCCGGACACCTGGATGTGAACAGTGATGACAGTAAGGGTGTAGTGATTGGTGGCAATGGGGGCACAAATGGAGGCATTGGTGGTGATGTGAAGTGTCGCAACTCGATTCAGGGCAAAGTGCTGATCGCTGACGACCGGGGAATGGTATGTCACCGGAAGGACGTGCTGTTGAGTGGTTGCTGTGATGAGCACTCCGTCAATAGTAGGCTCTTCTCCTGCGAGACCTGTCAGGTGTGTAATGGTTTGCAAACATGTATTATGTATTCACTAATAGACTGATTGGTACGATAGGGGAACGGGTGTTGTGCGATATACGAGTACTGCATATCGTGTTGTCTGGAACCGTCCAAAAAGCCATTACTCACGAGAATTGTGGGGCAGAAGACTAGCGACACGTTAAGCATATTGATGGCCAGTATTACCGACCACTTCGAGCTGTGTCTGACCAGATGTCGCACCAGTTCCGCGTCAGTACAGCACGAGAACTCCTATCGCGACCCCAAAGCCAAACACTGTTACGGAGACACAGATGACGACAAGACTGTTTGACACCATTTCAGTCCATTCTTATTATATTATGGTTTACTATAACTATAACCACACAAATCATGTGGACATGGAGTTACAGTGTATGTACTGCTGTATTACGGGTCATCTCTTAATAGAGTATCCATTTATCAAATGTTCATTATTTGCTTTCATAATAACATTCAAATACGAGAATATGTGTCAAACGGATATAAACCGGGGGTTTGTTTGTTAAGAAGACAGTACGGCATCCAATTCACGTTAGGAGGAGATGGGAGGGCAGGGCAGTCGAGGGTCAGGCAGATAATCGATTGGCACTTGAGACACACTGAGCACAACCATCACAACTAACATGTTTTACTGACTGTCTGTGCAATCAATTGAAATCGCTTTTGAAACAGATTTCCTTAATTTGTATTCAATTATTATTGAAATAATAAAATCTAACTTTAATTTAGTACTGTAAGTGTAATTGAAAGTACAGTATCAATTTAATGCTTTTTGAATGAAGGTCATTTAGCGATATTTTCAATATAAAACAACAGGTACGTTTCTTACGGGTATAATGAGGGTACCATTGAATATTGTACTGTAAGTACGGACTAAGTTATTACAGTATAAATGGCGATGGATTAAAAATTATTTAATTTAATAAATGAAAAATACAGTAATTCATTATTACAATTGTTATGAATTTATTTGTACATTAAATTTGAAACTTATAGGGAAATATTATATTAGCGTATATTATATGAATTGAATAAATACAAACATCTGAAACAAACTTTAATTGTAAAAATGATTCAAAACTTGTTTGATGACTCAATGGTTGTAAATGGATTAATTAAGTTATTGATGCATCGTTATTATGAGTATTCAAATTGAATTCATTTCTCTCAAAATATAGTCAATTCAATGGAAAACTGCTCTCGTATTCAATCAATTCTCAGATCATATATCATATAATTTTATGACCAATTATAACTACCGGTAAAAGTAGCAAAAACATATATCAGTGTCGAGACAAAACACTACCGTTTGTACCGTACAGGCATTTTGCTTTATTTTAAACATCGGGTTTAATTTTTATCAAACTAAAGTGATACAAAAAGTCAAAATAGATGTTTATGTTTATGCCATTATTTTAATATTACCTGTAAATCCAAAATAATCTACCTGTATTCCTGATACAATTGAAATCCATTTATGAATGCAAAATAACTTGTACCGGTAATAATTGTTTGGTATGAATCAAATTAATGGTAATAATAAAAGTATTTGGTGTTGTAAACAACGGGTATTTAAGGCACTTTAGGTAAAATAACTTACGGTATACCGTATATGGAATGTACATACAGTATAGTACACAATATAACAATTCATTTACATAACAACTATTGTTCACATCATAACTATATTATGGTATTCTATACTAACGTTAATAAGTGATCATTTGATAAGAAATACAAAATAATTTTGTCTATTTTATGTGTAACACACTTATTTGTTTGATTGGAGTGAATAGCCAACAAGTATGGCATTACATTGTATCTCATTTGTTGGCCAATATTTGTGCACAAGTGATGAGAACTGATCCCAAACTCAACACAATTCACATCTAAATGAGTGATGAATTTTGTCAATCAAACGATTCGCGCAATACTTAAATACAGAGAAAAATAAGAGTCAAAACCAAATATAATGATTCAAACTTAAAATATAATACAATTTTGATGGTTATGTCTGACAAGCGGTGTTTGATCGACACAATGGATGGCATTTGCATTTGAATTGTGTTTGGATTGTTTGCACGAATCAGTGTCAGTACTACTGGTTATATGATGTGAAGTCAATCGTGTTGTGGTTCCGGGAAAGGCCCCGATTTTCATACCATTCATACCACTCAAAAGTGACGCCGATTTTATGGCACTGTTGGCTGTGTTCGTCGACTTATTTATGTCCCCATTTGGCTCTGTCTTCACATGTGTTGAGCGACAATCTGTTTGTTGTGCAGACTTTGTGTTGCTTTCATTTTCAACGACTGAATCAAAACATTCAATGAATTCATATGTTTAATATTTACTGTCAATACTGTATACTAATCCTAATCCATGTATGCATTACCCGTAAGACCCGATGTTTGTCGTGTAAGAGGCGGATGTGTGTCGTGAGTAGAATCGGTACCAAATATACCAGTCGTAGAACTGGTGGACGTTCTGATGGCCGAAGTGTCGGCATCTGAGGAGTCAATAGCACGTAGAAAACGAGCCAAATCTTTGACGACATGCATAGCACCGGCACTTCGCGCTGACTCTAACAGCAATGACACGTAATGTCGCGAAACCGACGACTTCTCTAAGTTCTGGAGAACTATGATATAAGAGGCGGCAGTTTCTAACTGTCCTTCAGAGAGGCATTTCTAGCAACACATGTCATAAAAGAATGATTGAGTGAATGAGTGGGTGTTGTGGTGATTGTGGTCATAGAGTGTTTGATGTCTTACTTGAAACAACTCCTTGGGATTGCCGACAATGGCGAAGAGGTGAGGCCAGAGGGCTAACTCTGTTTTGCGCGCGCAGTGCACTATAGTCTGCAAAAAGACCGGAAACTCACGGATAAAGTCGACGACACGGGGTAGGAGTGCGTCGGGAATGGGATGAGAAGTGGTGGCCTCCTCTTCGAGCACTTCGTGAAGCAGGAGTTCGAGTGAATGTGGAAAATACGGTAAATTCGTGCAACTATTGGCTATTTCCCAGGCGTGAAGACCCAGATTGCGGCGCAAGAGTTCGCGCAGAATGTGATGCAAATAGACTTGACTCGTGCGCGACACCACACAAAATGGAAGCGCAATCGGCAGGTGTCGGGACCCCAACACTGTGTCGTTCTCTGCGCCCAACATAACGGCGTCCCTAAACAGTATGGCCAACGGATAGATATGAGTGGCTATTGGAAGCATAATGCGCTTCGACATAAAGCTATGGCTCGTAGTGTGTTGTTCGGGCACCGGTAGTAATGGAAGCCATACGCCCATTCCTGTCAACCAATTCAAATACAATAGACATTAATAGACATAGTAATAGTACCGTACGCTAAACACAATAGACATTACCATTAGAACCACACGACAAGTACAAGGACTCTGTGAGATGGGGGCGATCCGACTTTGAGCTCATATTAGAGATCCACACGTTCTCGACACCCGACGCCAATATGGAGACCTTCTTGTAGACAATTTGGTGGTCATTGGAGTCATTGGAGTCATTGCCAGTGTTTGTCTCCTTCTCGAGCAGCAGAAGTCGTCCACAAATGTTCATCAAAATGGAAAGCGGCTGCTCTTTGGACTCTTTGGTGGACTCGATGTGCAAATTGGTTAACACGACAAGAGTGACACATTCGGGCGGAACGATGAGGTTATTGATCACTATTTCACTCATATGTGTTATATATAGTGACGATATTTGGTTTTGTGTTTTGCGATTCAAACCATACAAATGAATGGTTCCGTCGATTAAATAAGTGATTAGATTATTATTAAACAAAGACATGACCAGCACTTCATTGTCCACTTTGGCCACCCGTACGAACTGATTGTCAAGTTTATGTTTATGGGAATACGTGCGCAACTCATACCTGCCGTCCATCACATTGAAACAGCTCACTATCATGTGCTCCGCACACCACAACACCCCTCCGCACACCTCGAAGTCCTTCTCTTGACTCTCGTTACCTAACAATCAATACAATCAAAGCATTCACTCATTGGTTCATTTAATACACCATTACATCAATCGTTTCAATTCATTCATTTTTGTTGCTATCATAATAATACCGGTATTAAACCGTACTGTCAGTTTTGTACCATTCATATACCCTAATTACGGTATACCGTAGTACGGGTAATAAATAACTCACTATTGTTTACAGTTAACTAATGGTTAGCATGGTGTCATTTACTGGTACCAAAAGCACTTAACATGATATTACGGTACTGAAGATGTTCATGTACGAGTACATGAAAACATTTTGGAAACTGATTAGCAATGGAATGAATTGAAATCATTGAAATTCACATGAAATACATTTACCAAAGAGTTTCCATTTTCTGTGAGCGAGTGAATAGTGAGCTAAACCGGTGCGGCCGGCAATCACAATATGTTGACTCATGCTATCGATAGTTGCGTACCTAATGGGCCAATTGGTGGACAGATACCTGTGCGGCATATTTATCACAATCCACTGAAGATTGCCCACTGCTATGGGTTGTTGTTCCCAATATATCTCACCTAAAAATATGTCAAACATTGATAAATATAATGACATTAATGAGAGGGTTCGTAGCAATGGTCACCTGAGGTACAGTTAGTCGACGGCATAATGTCATCAGCAATACTACCGTTGCAGTAGTGGTCGATATAATCAGTTGAACACATGGGTGAGTAATGTTGCTGTTGTTGGCCCACATTGACGGCACCGATGCCTATAAAGAGGCGGTCTTCAGATGTGAGCAAAACGAGCTCTTCATTAATGGATGAGCTCGGGTTCGATGCAATCACACTCTTGGCCATAGACAGCTTGGATACGCCATCTAATAGACAACCACTTCCATTGTCCACAGTGTTTGCAAGAGTTGCACTTTTGGTGGCTAACCATAAGTGATATCCTATACAACCAACAGTTGATTGTTTTAAGTTTGCAAAACAAGTATAACTTTTCATACACTCAAATGCTTACCTTCTTTACCAAATGTCATTGAATTGACAATAAAAGGACTCGATTTGATGGCATCGACTGCACCCAAATCCCATGAGAAACTACAGGCAATTAGAGCTCCAAATACGGACCACAAAGCAAAGCCTCCCTTTTCCCAAGCAGTGGCCAATACAGTAGAATCGGGAGTCCATTGAATACAAGTGAGGGCACCGGCTGTGAAGCTGGCGTCTAAAGTACACATAGGGTACGCATAAATGCAATGCAATGTACAGCACGTATAGGTGTTCACTAGATATACCGGGAAAAGTATCGGCAGACAAGACGAGCCTATGTGTGACAGTTATGGCATTCTGGGTGTCATCCAAACAACACACCACTCCCTCCGTGTTGTTGAGTCCAAAGGCAATCAATTGGTACTTATGATTGATAGCACAACTGCACGCATTGTCCACTTCGGGCACAAATTGGAGTCTTGAGTTGAATTGTGGCGAACCTGTCATCACATCTGGAGTGGAGGGTTGGCTGCTGTGAGAGTGAGAGTGCAATGGCATGAAAGCCGCGCGACCGCAGCTGAATACAAGACCAAAGCCACCAATCATTGACGAGTACTTAATGTCCACTACATTGATGTCATCCGTGGCCGAGAATGTCTTGGAAGTGAGTTTCCAGATGAAAGAGTCGTCAATGTTTCCGTCCCAATGCACTCCACATATCTCTCCTGCAAACGTGCCATTAGTTCATTAGTTCACAGTTACAGTCAACCAGTCATAAGACATACCATTCTTTGTTCCGATTACTATCTCCTCCTCGGCTGCCATTAAACTGTCAACAAAAGTGAGTGAAGAGTGAAGTGCTATGAATGCTATGACATGAGATGGTAATACCATTTAATCCCAGTTGTGATTTGCGTCGAAAACGATAGCATCAGAAGCAAAGACGGAATCTTTTCGGTGACAAACAGTTCAGAGCTCTCGCGCCGAAGACCTGAAACACTAGTTGGCAAAGAAGGCGTGTTATGGTCGAGGAATAGAGGAATAGGTGACAAACAGTAGAGCTTAAGACAAGACANTGTCTGCGGCCACCCGTACGCCCAATACATGACTGTCCAGTGATGTGAGTGATGCCAGTGATGTCGCACTCACTATCATCTCATTGTCCACTACTCAACACAATCAACACAATCATCCAAACATTCATGAAATTACTGCACTTATCGTCATATGTGTCACACATTCCCATTCATTAGTCAAGTATATGTTTTCGCATATCTCATCCTATTTTATATATCAGTTAAGGCTTACTACAGCTTATATGGTAGCAGTAAAAGGTACCATTTCTATATTCAAGTCAATGCTTTTTAAGTAGTATTTACAAACATTACTGTGATTGCGTGTTAGTTAAAGTTCTACACGCGTTAGTGGCTTTCATGACGCGTATGACATATACCCCTCAAACTAACTATTTACCATGCGGGAAATGGATTATTTCTTGAACGCATAATCTAATCCTTAATCTCTCTTCATAGATTAATTGCCTCAACTTACCGGTTTAAAAAATATACTACATTCCACATTAATTCATCATGATAACAGAGTAATTTGACTTAGCAAAAAAGTTCCCGTATTTTTTTAATAAATAATATAAATAATATATTTTTTTTATAATTTATCATTACATTCCAATATATTTTCTATGGGAAATGAAAAATAGAAACCATTTTTACAAAGGCAAATTACGCAGTTATTATGGTTAATTAATATGGCATATAATATATCTTTAAAAGTCGGTAAGTTGGGCTATTAATCCCTGAAGAGAGATCAAGGATTTGATTATCCTTTCAAGAGATTATCCATTTCCCGCAAGGTAGGTAGTTAGTTTGAGGGGAGTATGTTACGACATGACATTACATATTTGAAAGTGTCCTTCGTCCGAGTTAACATTTAATTTTATTTAATTATAATTTATTTTAAATTAATTTCTTATTAAACATAATTAAACGCATGTTTACAATATGATAAAATATTAATATTCGTGTAAATATATGTGAACTTAATTTCATTTTATTGTACGAGTACGGACATGATGTGACATATTGGTTTGCATCTATGTCATTTGGCAAACCTTAACTGCTACTGTACCGTAGTACTGTTACAGTATATACAGTAGTACAGTCTATAGGCGTGAAATATTACAGTATACGTGATATAAATGAGTGTTGCCTAAGTTTGGAGACTTTTAAAAACTAAAGCGTAATGCTAATCAATGGATATTGTGTTGTAAAAAGGGCCGTAAGTTTTATGTCGGCGTTTACAACAACTCGTAAGATGTGCTCATTATATCGAGTCAAGTCTGTACAGTGTATATAGTGTACAGCCATTACATTGAGTGTGATATGTATTGTATTATTATTATGTAATCAATTGGTTATGCATTTGTTGTGCAGTATTATGAACACTGTTAGGAGTACTGCAGTACTGCG